TCTTACTTCCTACCTCCATGGCTGTTGCTACCAGGTAGAACAATAGATGTGGACCTATACTTTTGACAGTTAGAACAACTGCACCTATCAGTTCAAAAGAAATGACTGGAACTTAGCAACAGAATAGATGTTGTATACCATGCTGACAATACCAGACCACATACATATCAGAAAACTGATAGGCCCCGTTCAGACGAGGGCGTAAAGGGCATAAGTGTGTGTGGTTAAAGTGTAAGTAGTTAAAGCCGAGCTCCGTTGCCAAGGCAACCAGTCACTGCTACGTCATAGAATCTGGTTTAGGTCTCGTGGCATAGAGTTCCAAGTTTTCAACTTTACGCCAAGTTTGGGATAAGCGTCGACCAATCAGAGCGAAGCTAAAACGAAGCGGCTTTCTTTAGACGATTTCGCTGTCACATCGAAGGCGACGTTTTTTTTAATGTGGTTCGTATCCGAACGAAATAAAGAGTTGATCTCGCAAGAAATCTACGATGATGACATGCATTTTTTAATGAGTTTTTAATGCATTTTTTTAATGAGTTTTTCAATTTTATTGAAAAAATATGGATGAAACTCGTAAAGCGAAAGTTAAGCTCAGGATTATGCACGCTGTGTATGATGATCCTGTAGATGATTGATCCCATCCAATATTTTTCATTCTATTATGAAAAATTCTTTAAAAAATGCATGCTTGCAAAAATTTTATTTTTTCTGTGTAAATTATTAATATTACTTTCTTTCTGTCTATAATTTTTCTATAAATTATTACTACAATTTTTTCCTGTTTAATTATTTTTGCATTTAAGAATAAATTTATTAAAAAAGCTGAAAATATTGTATTGCTATTTGCTTCAAATGCTGATTTTCTTTCCAAACAAACCTTCATGAATTAATTTTACTAAAACACCAAATCAATATAAAAAATCTGCTGCTTTTTTTTACAGTTAAAATATTACTTTAAAGAAAAAGAAAAAATTATTTTTACTTATTTAAGAATAGTCAATAGTCAATTCAATGGTGTTTGTAAGTAATAAAAGATGTAATCTTTTGAGAAAACGCTCTTATGAATTCCAAGAAAGGAAAAAATGTAAGTGAGATATCCTTAAAACAACAGTCAACAGTCTAGACAGTTTTGTCTCCTGCGGATGTTCTGTTCTGTTTTTTAATTACGTTCTCCATAAAAGGAATTTACTTTTAATGAAACTGAACAGCAAACATAATTCATAACATAAACTATAATTTAATGAATAGTATTTGTTATTATTATCCACTCTTTATTACTATCATTTGAATGGAATTTTGATCATTAAATTCATGCTATTCTCTGGTAGAAATTCCTGGATAAGGTATGAATGTTTCTAATTTGATGTCTTTGAAAACTGGGTAGCTAAAATTTGTCAATGTGAAATTACTTTTGAGATTTGGTCCGTAAATAGAAATGACAGCATATGTTGAAATTAAATTCAGGGGTGCGGCTTTACATGCAAATGATTAGAAATAGATGCATACAAACAGCTGGCAACATGACAACAATGTAACAAAATTGAGCATAAAATACATTGTTGGGTGAACATTTCATAGCATTGTAAAAGTTCAGTTGAGGTTGCTGGTTATTGGTGACCAGCTGTGGGTTACTAGGACTAGTAATAATTGATACTGGTAGTGCAGCCAAACTACTGTAGTGATCGACAATGGCAGTAAATAAGGAGTGCTAAGCACATGTTTCAGTCAAGAAATACGTTCCTTTTGATTGAAAATTTTAAATACAGTAATAATAATAATATTGTATGGTAAGCACTGTTTTCTGGTTAATTGCTTTCACACCTGCAAAATGGAAAAATATTATATGCAGGCTATCTGTTAGTTATCCTCAAGATTTTTTTTTTAATTAGGCCTATTCAGAATATCATGTTTCTCCTAAGACTGCAGTACAATGCAGAAATATTCCATACTGCTTTGCACAGAAAGACATGATAAAACAGCATTCTGTTGAACCAGTGTTGAGCTGAAAAAGCCATGACACAAAATAACGAAAACGAGCAGAGCGAGCGCGAGAAATAAATTGAGCTAGAAAAAAACAGCGCGCGAAAGGTGTAGATACATCCACGCATGCGCAAATTTAGCTTCTCTCATTGGCCACAGCTTAGACCCCGTCTCGCAGGTGTGAACGGATGTCCCGTATTTTATGCCCTTTTGACTATGCCTCTATGTGCTTTACACCCACGTCTGAACGCACCTATAGAGCCCATAAAGCCCATTACAGCACCAACAGATTATCAATTGTTTCAGTTTTATAAAACTCCCTGAATGGCATTTAGTTTCATAAGAAGTCTTCAAAAATTATGTGTTGCAATTTTTTGAACTGAAGCCACAACAGTCCTACAGCAATGGGATTATGGTGCAGCCAGAAAAATGGCAGGTCATCAAACAAAATGGTTCATATGTGGTTTCATAATGTTGTTTTCTAATAAGCGAAAATTTATTCTCAGTTTTGACTTCCAAAAGCTCAATGCTGTTTAGGCAAACCAATAATAACTATATTTAATAAATATGAAATTTATTAACCTATAAATTATGACTGCATTTAATGAATATAAAATAGGAAACATTTCTATTATTTTTCCTGTGCTTAAACAATATGCTTAAATTTAACATTTTCAGTTAGAATTTCTTTACTTTGAGGCTGTTTCCTCCTACCAGTTTAGTCAAGGAACTGAAAAACTGAAATCAAACAATTTTAGCTTTTACTCTGAGACTGTGAAATCCTCCCCCTTACCAGATGAAAACCTCTAGTCTGTGATCACCATAAAGAAACAAAGTTTGATTCATTAGTCAAAGCAACAGGCTCTAAAGAGAACCTCAAAATCTTCCAAGGCTAGCCCCCCCAAAAAAAGATGAAGAATAAATAATTTGTTGATACATTTTGCCTTTGCTGAATGTGAGAGTTATGTCATTAATACACTGCACATATGGCAAAACCACATTCTGAAAAATTAAATTTTAATAGGAAAAACATAATAGATATAATTCAAATTAAGACAGTATGCATGATTTAAATAAACTAACATATCATTGTAATTAAAAGGGGGGATGTTAATTGAAAAGGTTTTTATTACTGTTTAATAAGCAACTGATACAACTATTTTTCAAAAAAAGCTGGCGATTTTTGCCCAGGACAATGATCAGCAAAATAAACTTTCTCAATAAGAAAGGCAGTTTTCTACTGCTTCTCAGAATTTTTTTTTTTTAACCTGGGCCAATCTCTATTTACAAATTTAGGTAATTCCTATGCCTTTTCTAACTGTACTAACATAAGTTAGTACAGTTAAAAAAGGCACAGGACTGTACTACATGTTTACCTTCTTATAAGTTAAATATGCTTTATCTCCTTCGTTATCATTCCTTTCAGTATCAGATAGTGTTTCAAGATCATCGAATTCTTTATATCTAGATTAATTCTTTGACTATTTCTCCTTCCATATCTCAAAACCTTTTGTCACAAATTGCCTTTGCAATTTGTATGATTTCTTTAGCTTCATTTTCAATCAATGGAAATTCATTAAATTAAAACTATTGAAAATGAATTAATTTCTACATTAATTAATTTATGGCCAGAAATGATTCTAGCAATTCTAATTATTCATGAATAAATGTTGAACCACATATAAATGGAATTCTAGCACTGGACAAATTAAATAAAAACAATTATGATAATGCGAATTTGTGAAATTGTGTTCTGCAAATTCACGCTTGGTAAGAGTTTACTGTATTCTTTTCTGTATCAAGAGATTGTGTTTTCAACATTAACTTCAGACAGTCAGTCGATCATTGTTATATTTTATGATAATATGAGGTGAATAAGAGAGGATGTTTGCTACAAAAAATGTTAACAGTGAAGAAATCAGTACTGCATGCTTCACCATGACAATGCACAAGATCATAACATTATGAAAAAACCACATTTTTTTTTTTTTTTTTTTTTTTTTTTTTGTGGATAAAAGCTATTCAAAATAGACCCTCATCTTTCCAACTTGCTAGAGTTGCCACCCTTTAGTTCATGTAAGCTTTCAAAATTTATTTAGCTACATGTGTTACTTTTTGATCAATTTAGCACTTGTGGCTTCTAATCACCAAGATTGATTTGTTTTTCTTTTTTGTTGTTTACTTAATTTGTTTTTTTTTTATGATGCATTCAGAATTGTTAACATGTACATGGCAAAATAACAACTTTTATGACTATATGATTAAGCAGACATGTTAATGTTAAAAAATCAGTTTGCATAAGGCAGTGACAGATAAATCTTGCCTTATATTGTGATATTTACTTCCTTATTATCTTCTTAATAGTTCTTTTCTCTTGAAGCATAAAATTTGTTATTGGTCTTTATCAATCAATTTCCAGAAAACAAGATTTTTTTTTTTTTTTTTTAAACAGATAAATAAGACAAAACAATTCTCAAACCTGAATCTTAATTTTAGAGATTAAGCTCCATGGAACGATACTATTAGAGCTATAAAAATGTTTAGTTTCTTAACTTCTCCCTTTAAAACATACATACTTAATATATATATAACTTTTCTTAGATTAGTATTTAAAACAGACAAAACAATATAAATTTATAAGACATGCATACCAATTTTATACATAAGGATATATATATATTGCTTGATGTGACCTACTGAAGTGCTTTATGAAAAGTGGCCCATTTTATCTAGTTAAATAATTTAAACATTATTTACTATTTACTTGTAATAAAAATGTTGAAAGCACAACAAACTCTTGTTAATTCAAAATTTTGATTGATCAAACAGATATTTCAATCCAAAAATATCAACTAAAAAGAAATAACTTTCTGAATAATTTTGAAAATTCAAACAGTTTTTTTTAGTCCCAATGAATTCAAATTCATTGCTCAAGGTAACTTCCAGACATGACTAAGATTTTTTTTTCAGTTTCAAAAAAGTAGATTACACAATTACTTTTCTCCCAGATATTACAATAATTTTTAAACAAAATAATAAATATTTTATTAACAGTTTTAAAAAGTGTACACAAATTAGCTGTTTTCATCATCATTTTCACTGTTTTCAATTTCCATATTTGAAATAACGTCTATATGCCTTCTCTTCGTCTTTTTACTTTGTTTTGATGATTTCCTTTTCTTTGGCATCACATCAGATGAATCATTCATCTGCTCCATTTCATTGTTTTTGTTAGGAATAGATCTACGAAGAGATATAAAATTTATCATCATTTTATCTAAATAAAGTACCTCGTTATGGAAAACCAATCATGTAAGCATAAATTTGTGAGATTAATAATTTGGCTCCATAGCTGAGTATCGCTTGGCATACACTAAAACAACATCACCAATTTTATTCCCTACGTTTACCTGCAAGTCATTATTTTATTATATTTGCTTCAGCATCGCATGTTTATATACTACATCTTCAGAATACTCATGCAGTTATTTCTAAACTTTTTTAATATTAGCATTGAATAACAAGAAGTATGGCAACTTTATGTACATAAGCTGGCGATCATATAGATTTTTAAGGCTCTAAGAAATGTTGACGAGGAAAAAAAGAAAAAAAACAAAAACAATTTTCATATGCAAAAAGATTTTGTTAATAACCAATAGGCCAAAAGTTAACATTAGTGTTATTTTAATAATAATAACTGATAGTTATTCACTACACCCCAGAATCGGGCGGCAAAATATATCGCCGGACGGCAAGAATTTAGAAGACGAAATTTTTGGAATTTAGGACACCGAGCGGCAAAATTAAGAAGTGATAGTTTTATGATTTGGAAACACTGAATAAAGTTTAGGCACGGTGATATTTAGAACTTAGAAAGCACTTTGTAGCCGAGTTTAAGGACCCTATAGATTGCTCCAGTGGTATCATCGCCGGCGCTAGATAAGCATAAGTATATGTGAAGTTTATTTATCAGGACTCAGATTAGTTTAAAGCATGTGCAGCACAAAAATGTAGGTAGAGTACATAACCTTTAAGGAAAACAATTCAGGCTTAATCAAGTATACAATAAGAGCAAGACAAAAATTTCAAACAACTTGGCTTTCAATCAACCAACCTAGTGATCACCCCATATGTATAATGGACACTATTAAGCTGGCTAAAATTATCGTTACCTTATTCCTAAGGCATTTCAATGAATGGAGTCAGACTGCCCTGTTCCCTAATCTTCTAATCTGATCCAGCTTATTATTTCTTGGCAAACTTTTATTTATTATGCAAATTTTATAAAGCTAGCTTGACTTTCGATTATGTCAAAAGGTTTCCAATACTTGGAGTTGCCAAAGATCGACAAGTGAAACCATGTTTCGATGTCCATTAAAATCAAAAAGTGGAATTGGGTGCAAAAAATAGGTAGGCATACCTTCTTTGCCTCAAAATTACACGAAATATGGCACTAGAAAGTCCACTATAGTAACCCAAGAAAAAGGAACTTTTTTGAATTTTTTTGGTGGAAGCATCTTAAACAACCTTAATTGAAAAGAAATGTTTAATAAATAAAAATAATACTTTTTTTTTTTGTAAATTTTGATACCCTTTAGATCATAATGTTCTTTATCGTAAATTACGGTTTCTATTTTTAATTGTATAATTTCTGTATGCCATCTTACCAGATTTAAATTGATGATCTATTATCCAGAAAAATCCCAAATCCGGAATCGGCAAAGTCCCGACCAGTCCGGATTTTGGACTTTGTACTGTATTACTATATACAAATATAGTACTGGTGAATACGACAGTGTCCCTTTACATGTCTATATGAACACAAAACTCACAGCAATATTTACATGAATAATAAAACAACTTACCCTCCTAAAAGTAAAATAATTTTCCTCCACACCATATAACCTCTCTTTGTAAGCTTTTTTGCTTTAGAACGGTTTACACTAGTTAGAAGTGGTAGAAGATCTGAATGCTTTTGCAGCAAAGACTGGAAAAACAAAAAAATAGCTATTTATAAAAGTGAGTATTTAGACATCGCCACAAAAATAAATATATGGCAATAATTAACTGTATATGTGGTAGCTTGAGGATTTACGTGAAAGGTAATATATTAATATTTAAATTGTGATTTCCAGTTCTCAGTTCTTATTTCATTAATCACATTATCAGATAAATGAATATCGTTGCTTCTATAACTGAAATGATGAATGAAATGCATTATTTTGCTGAGAAAAATAAAAATATGTATAACTTACATCTTACAAGTTAGAATATTTTCCACAAACAATATATGCACATATTACACACACCTTCAACAAAATATTCTGTGATTATAATATGGGCAGATGTACACCAGGTTCATATAACATAAATGAAACCAAATGTTCAGGATAATCCATTTGGGTGTTTTGCACATTATCTAATTATGAAATCTTTTGAGAGCCTGAACTAATTTTTTAAATAAATCAAATTGATAATTCAGAAGTCAAACAACAAAAATCAGCGTTATATTTTAAAAATTTCACAGGACTAGTTTTGATGGTTTTACCGACCCACCATCCTCAGCTGCAAAACTGCAAATGAACAAGATAAGAAAGTCTGGACAAGAATAAGCAAGTGCTGCTATCTGTTGCTGAAACCAGAACTAAAACATAATTTCTTTAAGGGCCGAAGGCACAGATGGATTGGAATTAGGATCGTTAACTAGAACAGAAAGATTTTTTTTAATGTGAAATGCCTCTAGAAAATCCAGTTCTCCAATGGAAGATGCTTTTTTGAATAATTTTGGCAGCAGCAAAATTGAAAGTGTGATTTTTCGGACCAACAATGTTGAGGCAACAGAAGACTTCTGTGTTTCCTTTTTTCTAACATATGCCTCATGTTCCTTGACGCGAAATTTTAAGGCTCTCTTAGTTGGCCAATGTAATTAAACCACACTGGCAAGGAATCCTATAAATACCCCGGAATTCATATCCGAATGGGGTCCTTGAGTATGGAACTCGGAATTTTATTGATGGGAGAATAAACAATCCGAAAGTTAAGTTTCTGCAAAATGTGTGCAACTTTATAGCTAATTGATGGAAAGAAGGGAATGACAACAGAATTTTTATAATCTCCTAAAACAAGAGTGTGCCTTTTAGTGTGTTTGAGATGAGAATTTTTTAACTGCTTGATTAATAATGTTGGGTAAAAAGCCCCTGTCAATAGCTATTGCTTTTAAATAATTTAGTTCTTCATCAAGGGCTAGTTTGGAGGAGCAAACTTGAAGAGCACGGAAAACATAGGAATAAAATGAAGCTAA